TGAAGGCCCTCACGGCCGGCGAGGTCCGGCCAGCCCTGCTGAGGGGCCTGGTTGCGTTACTGACACCGCCCGGGAAGACAGCGTTTACCTGCTGCGACGAGACCGCCCAAGGTAAAGGAGCTGACCAAGGCCTCCGAGTGCTCAGGAGACTGTGGTCTGCCAGCACAACCGGGGGGTGTTTGACCCAGGGTCCCTCATCTCCTTCTGCAGGGCTCAGCTGTCACCCTGCCTGGGGGAGGGGAGGAGGCGCAGGGGGCTGTCGCCTGAGGCGAGGGGCAGAGCAGCAAGGGCTGCCCGGGGCCCAGGCGGTGTTTGCCTGCAGCACTAATGTTAGCGCGCAGGCCTCCAGAGACCCGCTGAGATCTGCTGTCTGCTGGGCGAGGATAATGAACAGCTCCAGCTCCGGCTGTTTCCTCCCCGACTCAGCAGAGCAGGCCGCAGTGGCCCAGGCTCTCTGAGCTGTGGGCATCGCCTGCACAGATCCTTGCAGGGTACTACATATGATACATAGCCACAGCATTTCCCTAAGGTGTGTTTCCTTTGGTGGTAGCGGTGTAACTCCACCATCCCTCCCTGCTAACATCTTGGAAGTATTTTGAAGCATCATTCTCACCTTCCTAATGTTCCCCATGCAGACCCAACCGCACTTTGCCTGAGGGAGCCCGTGCTGGTGTATATTCAGCAGGCAGCTGCCGCAAAAGTTATTGGGTAAGACACGCTGGAGCAAAATCTACAGGAGCATAAGAGGGACCTTAGAGAAGTGGCTTCCTTTGGATAGGAAAGGACTGGGACATGTTCCTGCCAGGGAGTGTTCACCCATTCACCTCTGGCACCGCTCTCTGGCTGAGTACCCCAGCTCTGCCAAGTCTCCAGTACTACACTGTTTGGAGATGGGGTGTGTTCAGCAATGGGGCAGAGCTGCTGCCTGCAGGTAGCAGTGCTCAGACCCTCCTTGCTATTGACCCTGGAGCTGGCTTGAAGTTTTTTTTATACGGAGATGTGGAATCCCATCTGCCCTGGCCCTGTGTGCTGTCACAGTGTCCCCTTTATGGCTGGGCATGGAAGCAATGTGTGTGTTCTGCTACAGTGCAGGGCTGAAGGGTGCTATATTGCGCATGGCCACTGTATTCACCACATAGCTGGGAGCCACAGCGAGCAGTGAAACACCTTTATTTCCCATCAGCCACCCAATGGAAGAATCTAGTGGCTGATTGACTACAGAATCCTTAAGGCAATTCGGCCGTTTGTGCTATAATTGGTTCATTCAGTATGAACTTCCTGCAGTGTCCAGAAGGTAGTGCTATCAGAACGCTTTTCCTGCAAAAGCAGATGACAGAAACCCCTTGGTGGGTAGGGAGGTATACTGGAGTGTCTTCCAGGGACGTGTGCTCACAGAAGTAATGGTGGTGGTTGAGTCCTGCGTTCTTTATGGTCACACAAGAAACTTGCCAGACTTTAGTACACACGAGGAAACTCCTGCCAATCATTAAACAACTGGTTTGAGGCAAACCCACATTAAATGATCGCTAATCCATGCAGAGCCAAATATTTGTTGTTTATTTTGAGACTCTCCTGTCTGTTGGTGCTGCTAGGGCAGGGACACATCATTTTCCATTGTGGTCACACCGAGGCCCAGACTCAATTTGTTGTGTGCTTCTTCCCCCATACGGGGTAGGGGCTGATGGCCTATCTCATTGCAGTGTATTAGCCAAGGAATCAGCAGAAGTGGCTGAAGAGCTGATCCAGCTGAAGGTGGTAGATGGCCTGATGGTTGCTATGGGGAACCTGCACCATGTGGCCAGCCAGAGACAGGCCAGCATCTCCCTGGAGGTGAGTGTGGTGGTACATGGCAGCAGACATCATAGCACAGGGTCTGCTTCCAGAGCACCTGAGCAGAAAGGCTCCCTACACTGTAGTTTGTTTTCCTTTTTTTCTTGCTAAGCATAGCAGACACAGGCTTATTCACAAAGGCAGGAGTGACACTTCTTTCAGGGAAGAGCTGTACTTCCCCTCCCGTCTGCCTCCCTCCTGCCACTCACCACACACAGGGTGCTGGGAAGCTGATGTTGGCCCTCAGACCTCTGTTCTACCCCTAGGCTTGCTGTGGGTAGCAAGATCAGACGGAGCTAAGGGGCTAACCAAGGCAATTTGCCTGGAGCAGGACACTAGCACAGAATTATAAGCAGGCTATTTTTTCCTGCTGGTGCCAAGTAAAGAGTTTTGGCCTGCCTCAACACAGCTCTGCCTGTGAGAGAGCCACAGGGAAGGACCATACTGTCAGTAGATGTGAAGGGCTGAATGAGTGATGGCTGAGAACCAGGCTGCTCAGGGTAAAAGAGGGTTTACAAACCTGTCTGGTGATGCAGAGGGTCAGTGCACCATTCCTCTGAGCAGGCACTGACAGCACAGCAGGATGAACTCCCTGGCAGCTACTGCACAGCAATAATTTCACTGAAACACCCTCCCTCCTCTTGTCAATGAAGGTGGGAACTGGCCATGGGGGAGGGCAGGGGGGGAACAAGGTGAGGCTTGAGAAAAGACCCACAAATTCCTCTTGGTGTGTTCATGGAGTGCCATCAGTAGCACCAATGCTAAAGGAGGTGGGTGAGGGACTTACTGGTGTGTGGCACTGCAGCTCTACCCTCTATACACACACTCACATCCCTTCTCCCTACATACCAACTCTGTTCTGTTGCAGTATTTTGTCCACGCATTTCCCTTTGTGGAGGAGTGTGTAAGGAAGGCACTAGGATACACACTGTTCCAGCACTTTATGGTAAACATGCCTCCCTTACAGTGTTTATTAGTGGTCCTAGGACCTTGGAGTGTTTTGCAGGGATGTTGGGACTGGATTGCTTGTGAAAAGAAATCCAGTCTTGCATGAGAGCCCAGAAATAAACCAAGCCACCCTTTGAGAAGTGTTCTCCTTCAGTCTCGGTGTTCAGGAAGACAGTTTTTCTGACTCAGCCCCAAGACAGATCAAGGAGGGATCTCAGACTGCTGCTACTCCTGTGACAGTGGGAACCTGATGTCAGAAGTGTGAGCTGAAGAGCCATTGAGGCAAGAGGTGACTCGAGCTCCTCCAAATTAGGTCACTCCTGACTCTAGCTCCTGGGGTAGATATACAGATTAGTAAGCAATGTTAGATCCAGGGAGGGAAGGCGGAACAAACAAGGGGCGACATTTTGTTCCTTGCACCCAGGCCCATCCTTACTCGCCCCAGGACACCACTGGGCAAAGCTGGATAATCCAAGTGTAGTAACATCTGAAGCAGGACAGGACTGCCTTGCTTTAGTCCCAGCTCAGTAGGGCATAACAGCCCTTTTATTCTGGATAAGCCATCTTAGTATGATGCAGAGCCCAGGTACAAGTCAGATTTAACAGTTCAGGGGCCATTAGAGTGCTGAGCCCCACACTGCTCCCAGTACCTAAACTGTTGATCACAAAGTGCCTCAGCTGTGGGGGAGGATCCTGTCTGGGTTGAAGTATCCCTTCTCTAGCTGCTTGTCCACATCCTAACTCTTTTGCTGCCTTTTCCAGGACAGTCCTGAGACATGGTACACAAAAATTGATCCAATCCAGGCTGAAGAACTGGCCTCCAGTATAATAGACATCCCCAGAGACATGGCAAGGATACAGTCCACAGAAGGTGCGTGCAGAGCTGGGGGCACAGTCATTTAAATTACACCCTTTACTTTCAGGGGGACAAGGCAGCTCAGGAAGCAGAAGGCCAGTGGGAAAGAGGGAGCAATGGTAGAAGGATCTCTTTGTAATCTGGTGTTTGCATAGCTGCATCCTGTGTTGCTGGACCCAGAGCTCACAGGGCTGTTTTGTCCTTTCAGAGACAAACCCTAGAGTGAGCTGAACAGGAAAGAGAGGGCAGCAGCACATGCCTCCTATCTGTCCTCCCCCACCCTGCCCCTCTGCCTGCTCCTTCCCAGAAGACAGGTTGTGTGGGGCTACCTGGACCCAGGCTGCACACAAGGGCCATGGCAGCACCTTGCTGCACCTGAACCAATGGCCAGCTTCGCTCTTCTGCCCTCAAATACAGATTTTGGTGAGCTATCGAACATGTGTATTTTATGTGGCACATTAGCCATGGGAAAGAGATGTGAAAAAAAAATGTGAAGTAACATCCTGGGGCTATCTTCAAAGCCTAAGTAAATTCCAGTGGTACAAGGGCCCTTCCTACTTACCCGATATCAGAGCCGAGCCACTCACTACATGCTGAGTTTTGCTCAGGTGCAGGATAGGTACTCCTCTAAACCAGCTTCCCCCTTGCTAGGCAAGTTCTAGCCATCAGGATCTCAAAATTTATAGACAAAATTTATTTTGAGTGATTTTTGTGTAAACATTACAAGTGTAAAGACTTTAAAGAGAAACTTCATCTAAGAAATCAGCCTGTCTTTATAACACCAGCCAGTCTTTAGGTGCTGTGTTAGACTTCACCAAAATCAGCAAGAAATATATTTTATAAGATAGAAGATAATTAAATCCAGGAACATTTATTTATCAAACTTCTTAAAATACTGATTTTTTACAATTACACATAGTCCGTTTTCTTTCTAGAAAAGCCAGACTTGCAACAGTTTTACAATGCTTCAAGCACATATATACACTAGAAAACTATACATGTGTATCTAGTTCTATCAGAGGGGACCATTGTCAGTAGCAAAGGGCCAGATGCCAGACACATCTAGCAGACTCAGGCCCCCCTCCCAAGCCTTGCAGGGGGTGTGTTTCTAGCACTCTGCTGAGTACCCCAATAGCAGGCCATGAAGAGAGGGGCTGCCACATTCACTGCCCTCAGGCACACGTGACCAACAGACACTCTACCACATTTAAAACAGGAGTTATGCAAACCACCAGCAAACATGCAAGACACAGAAGACTGCTTGTGACCCAGGTTTTGCTGCATTTACTAAGGCCTCTGCCGGTTCATCTGCTTGCTGGCTTGCTCCTCCAGTTGCATGGCAGCCCCCAGGGCATCCAGCGTTTCTATAAAGGAAATCAGGAGCGACAAGGTGACTGACCTGGAAGCTGAAGTCCCCCACTCAGCTGTACCCTAGCAGGGCTCTGCAAGGGCCAGAGGGAAATGAACTGGGCAAGAACTGCTCAGCCAACATCAAATCCTGCCTAGTCCCACAAAGCTCTTCAGCTGCAGTTGTTTGTTTCTACTCATCAAGTTTCAAGCCTGCCATTTTCAGTTCAAACTAGATGCCACTAATCCAACCATCCCAGAGGGCCAGATCTCCCTGGCCTATAGGGCAGAGAGGGTAGCAGGGCATTTACTCCTGTTATCTTGTCACTACCCCTACATGGTGAATGGAGGGATACAGCTATCAGGCTGCATTTGAGTTGGGAGGACAGTTAGGGCTGTTTAAGGAAAAAGTCACTACTTCAGGTTAACAGTCCACTTTGATGCCACAGTTTTGAGCCAAAGCCCCCACAGCCCTGGTTTTGAGCAAAGTCTATGCCAGCTCCAGTGGGAAATCAAAACCCAAGTTATGGCAACAGTGGCAGAAAAGTAGCAGTTACCAGTGTGGCTTCCCCTGTCCTAGTCAGGCAGTCTATGTACCTGCCACTCTGTTACCAGGTCTCCTCCAAGCTCCTACATCTGCCTTGCTGCCTCTCTACTACCACTTCAACAAGCATGGTCCAAACACAGGCAGGCAGTGTTCAGGGAACCAGCAGCTGACATCCTCCTGCACAGCACTGGGAAGTCTCCAAACTGGGTCAGAACTAAACAGTTGGAGGGATTTTGTTGCACATCAATTAATGCCCCATACTAAGGCAAAGGCATGCCAAACACAGGTGCTGGCAGACATGGCATCACAGTATATGCCTGGCAAACACTTGTTCTAAGTAGATGGGTATTAAGGCCTGATGTCTGTGACAACAGGAGTGAAAACAGTGGGCATACCCCTATGAATCCCTAGAACATGGCACTGGGACCTGTTTTTTTTTCGCCAAGTCAAGAGGTAAACTATTAACCAACTAGCCAAACAGACTTCAGCTCACCTCGTCTTGGTGGATATTACATTCTGCTCAAGGGAATGCAGTTTACAGCAGTGAAAAGCAAGTGGAAGTTACTAGACAAAATTTTACTTTGGAAAGTGCAGACAAGAGAGCATTTCAGATCTGTCCCTATGATCACCTAGGAAAGTGATCCAAACCGTAAGCTATGCAAGAGGACTGGGTGCTCAAACCCTCACAGGTATGCTGGTGTTACTTTCAGGTCTTTGAAAAAAAGATAAGTGACAGTGCTAGTCAGGGGCAGATACTAACATACCTCTGACACCAAGGAAATTTCTTGAGCTCTCCTCTATGAAGTACTTAGCTCTGCTCACAAAGGTCTCGAGATCATAGTCTGGTTGCTCCGTGATTCCCAAGAGGTAGTCAAGTTCAGTCATCATTCTCTGTATTTACAAGGATAACAGTGGTGAGAAATTGATTTTCTGGAAATTCCATTAGTTTCTTCAAATCTGGCACACCAATCAGCAGAGCTGAACTTCTACAGACCAGTACCAGTCAGTGCTCATTAGCAGCAAGTAGAGGTTGCTAGTTGGAGGGGAAAGGGGACCAGCTGGCCACAAGCACTGAAATGCCCCAGTTTAAGTAGTTGAGCAAGAAACCACAGGAAAGTTGGCAGTGAGGAAAAAGTGACACCACTGTACAGCATCTTGCAGTACAGCCCACAGCCTCCCCAGCAGCACTTGGCTCAGACCAGGCAAGGTGCTCTCAACATGTAGAAGGCAGCCTGGGCTGGGCTTGCCTCTTCCACATACCTGTCTCAGTTCTCTAAGCTGTTCTACAACCTTCTCCTCCCGTTCACTAATTTGAGTCATAGCCTCACGAAAGCTGAACATGTGCGGGGAGAGATCTTCCTCCTCATCCTTGCAGAACTGCAAGAAACAGCCCAAGTAAGAACAGCAGTTTGTTCCTAGCTTTGAGATCTGTTCAGCCCATTGCACTCACATACATTGTGTTGAAGACCTGAGCCTTCTCCACTGGTCTCTGTTTCCTCAGTCTCCATCTGATTCTGTGTTTCACCACCTCCATTATGAGGACTGAGTTCTTTCACTCTGCAACAAGAAGATTTGTCAAACTCTTCTTCCAGTAGTTTCTGGGCTACAGCATCACACAGCAGCTACTGCAATCAGTCAGTGCTCAGCAAGAAACATTTGGCTGCGCTTAAAAACTTGTACATTACCACCCCAGAACAAGCTCACATGGGCAGAAACTCCAGAGGGCTGTGGGGAGGAAAACTGAGAGATGTTTGTCTCCGTGTCCAGTCTAGGGCCTCTCCTGGAAAGGAATGTCCAAGTACACAATACTAATTGCCAGCAAAGCCTTTCACAGAAGCTGTCTTCCATGACCAACTAAGAGCACTTAGTATGGAAAGAACAGGAATAAGATTGATTTTTCCCAGAGACCCACTGTGCCAGAATAGGTCTATAATAAGAATGAAAGTCATGGCTGATGACATGGTACTAAAGGTAGATGTCAGACACCAGCTGAGAACTTCATTCCAGTTACTATGTCAGCTTCATATTTCCAGTGAGTTTCAGCCTAATACCCCTTTCTTATAGCTTGAACTTGTGTTGTGCACTGGCTAAGAACCCAGTGGGCTCAACTGAAGACTAGAATCTTACTGAAGCACGCTAAGTCAGATGATGCACTTTGTCCTGTACTTTCAGTATGACTGTCCACCAGAAATAAAAAAAATGCAGCTTCAATCCAGAACCAAATCTGGGAATCTGTCAAAATTCACAGTGTTCCTGAATGCTTATGACAAGAATTACCATACATCCTTTCAGAGAATGGAATGCTTTCCAGGAAGAAACCAAGCAGCCTTTTGTGCACTAAATGAAGGAAAGATATCAAGCCTGAAATGTGTAAGTGTCATTGTTAACACATGACAGTCTTCTTTTTACTTGTTACCTCTTCAGAGAGGTGTAGAGGCATGTAAAGCAGAGACTGGGAGGCACTCACTGCTCTGTCACAGGGGTTCCAGGTAACAGCAAGACCCCCAGGGAAACCTGGGGCTCAGTCCCTGCAAGTCTATCTTGCCCTGCAGGTACCCAGGGTCAACCATGAGGCACTCAAAACACACTCCCACCATCTGCTTAGAGGCATTTGAGTTCTCCCAGTCCTTCAGGTTTCACCCAAAGTCTCCAAGGTGCCATACCCTATTAGTTCATATCAAAGTCCATCAAGAACACCAAGTGTTTTGTGCCATCTTGTGCAGGGCCACATCACAGACACGTTCTTAGCACACCCTTACAGATGGGACCTGAAGAACTTCAAAAAGTGAAGGGCATGGAGGTAACCATCCAGAACAGGGTAAGCTCCCTACAAAAAAACAGGGCAGTCTGAACTCTAGCGTGAGAGAACTCCTCTGAGGAAAGGAGACATTAGTCATGGTTTTATACAATCTCTATTATTATGTCTCACACTGAGAACACCCGGGTTAGTTTCATAAGACAGCTCTAAGATAATTTGCTTCTGACAAACAACCTCCAAATTGCCATTACAAGCAATAACAAGAGAACTTGAGCTTCCAAGGGTCAGAATAAAACTAGCCAGAACACCTTCTGCAACAAGAGTAGAATTCCCAGGTCAGAAAGGCCATTACCTGTCAGCGTATCTCAGTGTGTTTAAGGTGTACTCACACGAACTCATGCCTGGAGAAATCATTGCTATCTGCAAACAGAACAGAAGACCTCAGTGACTCCCACATCTGACTTCTGCTCATGTTAATGGTCCTAAAGATCTCAGCAGGCAGCTGGGACATGTTAGGGCAAAGGGTCAGAGTTGAGACATTCTGTCTTGTCCATTTTTCTTTATAGCTTCTGTGGGACATCCCTGTGGCCCTGTATCCAGCTTTCCACTGGCTTTGTGTACACCCACTGTGCTGCATCCTCCACAGGAAGCAAAGCCCTTTGAGAGCACACCGGGCTCTACTGTAGATTCTCTGTATGAAAGAGATTTCTGCAGCCCTGTTTCTAGTGGGGCTGGGCATAGCTCACCAGTTTTTGATCTCAGTCACCATGGGTGAGCAGGGGAGGAAACTATGACTTTTTTTTTTTGCAGAGAACTGAAGCTTTCTGACTTCAAAGTCCCCTCACTGTAGAAGAGCTATTTAGTCAAATTGCAGAACCAGTAAGCAGTTTGTGCCATGCGCATACTCACCATACAGGTCCTTGACTTTGTTCCTATAAAAGAGTCTCTTAGCACCTGGGTCAGCTTGCTCTCCCGGAAAGGGGTATGAGATTTGTTCTGCCCTAAGGCTCGGATACATTCCTAAGAAAAGACAAGTCTTGTGAATGCAGTATCTGCATCTCTTCTGCAAGCTATCAACCACCAATTGCTGGTAAACCCAACAGGCTGGAGAATGGTCATCTCTATTGCCCTGCAAGTGCTTCATAGCCTTTTCAATACACTCCAGGTATTTCACTGTCACAGGACAGGTGGTATATCCATCATATGTAAAAAAAGACAACTTGAATGAAGCCTGAAATAGCTGTACCAGTGTCTGGCCTGACAAGACCGCACTGCTTTCCTGGAAACATTCTAAACATACACCATTTTCAGGGTTAACATACTAAACTAGGATCTTTTTGGCTGTTCTTTTCCCTTGCACTGAAAAGAAACAGAAGAGATAGCCCCAGAGGTGAACAGAATCCATGTGTTGATTAGCACTATTTGCCACCTGCGCCATAGCTCACCTTCAAAGCCAGCAAGCTCTTGTTGATTTCTGCACCTTCCATTCGTGTCTGCCGATCAGCACTAGATGTGTCTGCACCCCTCTCGTTTCCTGCCAGGTCCACCAAGGAAAATTTGCCAAGCAGTTTACCTCTTTGGCGTAGTATGATTTGGAAGCAGGCGTGTGACCGTGAAGAGCTAGCATTTGCAAAAGTCTGCCCAGATGTCCTACAGCAAAGATGGAAACAAGCGTTAGAACTGTGTCACAGAAGATGCAACAGGTTCCGACAGCACTAGAGAAGACCTGCAGCCATCCAATTAAGTTGTTTAACCTCCCAGGTTTTATCCCATACATTAATACTTCAAGTTTGCATGAGTTATGGAGTTCTCTGATATAAGAGCACAGGACTACTGTGAGAAATATGAACCTGCACCCCAGTTGTAGAGATTTAAGGCTATGTAAGCTGCCTGGCTCAAGTTAGCCAGCCTACACTGGAATGCCTTTCTCTCTGCTAATGCTTTACATGCATTTGGAGCTGGAAGACATACCTTCAGCACTGCATCTCCCTGCCTCAGAGCAGGCCACGTGTCATTTTCCTAATGCATCTGCTGTTCCACAGTAAGCTCAGCCAAGCTCCCCACTAAACAGCATTAGCTGCGCTAGCACATTACAGTCATGGTAAATCCCCTTCTCCAAGCTGCCTTGGCACTTTACCTCTGCTGTGCAACTGCACCTGCCCCATCACTGCAAGACACAGACAGGAGTCTCACAAGTTACCATAAACCTCCTTGTGACCTTCATTGTCGTTTATTCCCTAAGGCAGCTGGCAGGTTCACTGTCCCACCTGCATCCCTACTGCTGGGGGAAAGGAAGGAAAGTTGTCCTAAAGTGAGGCAGGAGTCTGAAATGTTAAGCAGTTCTTGACTGAATTGTCAGCCAAAAAAAAGCATGCACAGCGGAGTGCGGAATGAGCTTAAAGAATGTGCATATCTGCACATGCAGCGTAATACAGAAGCCAAGGAGCTCTCATTTGCCTAGCAATGTTTCCACAGCAGTTGCAACTTAACTGAAGCAGATAAGACTTGGTAATACAGATTTTTAGCTCCTGATTAAAGACGCCAGTACGATGGTAGAGTCATCCCAACCGCAGCCTTCCTGCCAGGATGATGAGCCAAGCCTATTGCTATCCTTTGGCATCTTTAAACAAGATCCCTGGATGACATGCAGCTTTTTTGTCACCATTGGAATAGCTCATCTGGCCTGCAGTTAAGCTAAAGCATTTTTGCAACTGTAGGTTGATGCCAGCTGCTGTTCCTTGATCTTACAAGCCCACAGGGAGCTAGTTGTGTTCCTGCAAACTAGCTGATACTTCTAGAAAGCAGCTACACTGCTCAGTTTAGCTGTGGTGTCAGGGCAACCATCTCCTCACATGAATAGTTTCTCTCTTCCTGGAGTTACATGAGGAATATGAATCACAAACTCCAACTTTCTCTATGGAAGGCAGGCTAAACCCATCCCTGCTAGCCCTTTATTCTGTAACCACCTTCTTGTATTCATGCAGAGGTGCTGGTCAGTGCCTGCCTGTTACTGGGAACAACAAGCTTCTGTTTAAGTCTCAAAGTACCAGCTACAGACATTATATATTTCTTACAATAGGACACGATTCTTCTTAGTTTTAAGGCACCAAACCTGCAGGCACTGCCCATCTCAATCATTCTGATGACATCCTCAGCACAGCCGACTTGTCTCTCTTGGAGACCAACAACCTGGACCTGCTGCTTGCCATCCTCCAGGACTCGAAGCTTTGCCTTCTTATTCAAGAGGTCAAACACCTATATTCAGGCAACAAGATTGAGGCAAATCTGAACAAAGTCTCCTTGTAAGTACTTTGCACTGTCTTCGTACAAAGCTATATAGAAACATCACCTTTAACATAGCCTTTCAATTCAATTCCAAACACACCAAGAATAATAGACTATATAAAACTATAGGAACTAGTAAGTTTCACTCAGCTATTTATGAAACATTTAACCAAAGAAGTCAGGTCAAGATTTTTAGAAAATTCTTACCTTTCCATTATATATTTCAAAGAAAGTCACATAGACTTCCAGGTCTTGACTCCTGTACCTGGGCTGGTTTAGGAGGAGGAAGACATCTTGTGCTAGTGAGGAAAGGCAAAAGTTTAGTTAACTAGTTTAAAACATGTTCTAATTGCTACTTGATCTACTTTCAAGTATTGTGCAGCCATAAGGCAATGTCTAGCAGCTGAATGATAGTCATCCTAAAAAAATGCTAGTGAAACAATTAGTGCTGTGCTACCATCTGCAGAACAGTTTCAGCAGCATCCTCATTCAGGGACTGAAAACACAAAGGGATACTGAAGTTTCTACTGCTAATGTCACCCGCAGACAGCAGTCCTTACTGATCTGGGGGAGCAGTGGGATCTGCTATTGTTTTGGACAGGCTTGAAAAAGTCATATATTTGTTTCAAGCACTTCTTGTGGAAAGCCTAGAAAACATGCATCCCTGAGCATCTGCATTGCTGCTGTTTGGAGACAATATACCACGTTAATTGACCCTTTGGCTGGATCCAGGGCAGCTTTTCACAGTTAGGCTTCAGACTGAATTGAGCTGAAAAGCAAAGAATTCCCCTCAGAGACAGTCATAACTAATTTTCATAGACTAGCAAACAGTTGCTCTTGTTTCAGCTGCCTCACTACACAGACTAGTTTCACGATATACCTTTCAAAAGGGAAGGTAGAGGAGGTCAGGTTTCTTGGTGCTTTCTAGGCATTGTATTAAGGACAGACTTTTAAGCATCTGTTTTCTGAAGTAATTTTGTATGTGCTAGGTTTTTTATATCTAATGCTTACAAGAAGAAACATAACATACATTCATATGCTTTCTGTATAACAAGCTTTATATCAGGAATGGGTAAGGTTATGCTGCATTCAAGGCAGGTATTTCCAAACACCACCCTTAGTCTGAGACAAAAGCAAAGCAGAATAATAAAAATGAAATAGTTCAGCCCAGCAAATGCCAAACTAGAAAATACGTCATCTCTTTGCCTCAGAAACAAGCATCTTCTGGTGAGTTAAGTGTGGATCTAGAAACTTACAGGCTGGATAGAAAATATTTTGTGAAACTGATAAAAGAATAATTACAACTCCTGTAACAAACACCACTGCTTATTACTGAAAATACAAATACTTTATGTATCTTTTACTGGAAACATTTTAAATAACCATACAAGATCAGATCTTATTTATTTAAGAAAAACAAGCACTAATTTGATTTTCATATCTAAAGAAGAATTGCTTACATGCAAAAGCATATATTCCCTTTGAGGCATTCTGTGCTTTCCCAGAGAAGTCTCCGCCCATAGTCTGTGAAGAGAAAAGGCCGGACGTAAGGTGTGGTACAAACAAGTCAGGCTACCTCATTTTAGTCTGAAGAACATACTAGGAAGTTACCATATATATGCTCCAATGTCAGCAAGATGATTAGAACACAGTGCAATTCAGGATAAAATTAGTTTGCTGCTTCCTTATCAGTTCAGAAAGGCTATCTGGACTATGCAAAGCAAAAGCTGAATGCCTGTAAGGCTCTGCAGTGCAGAGTCAAAGCAGTTGATCCTCCAAGGCGAAATGCATGGTCTTGACAGTGCAACCAAACAGCCTCTGGTCAGAAGAAACTAAGCCTCATTTTTTAGGACATAGGTTGAGTAAAATTTTCACTGCTACTTGCAAAAGCTCACACGTGGTATCAAAACACATCAAACTTCTAGAGCAGACAATACCTTTAATTCCTTTGACCAAGGTACATTTAATCCGAACACAATTTTCAGTTGGTGCTATCCTGGTGACTTGCTCTACCACTTTTACACAACTCAGTCCGAAGACACATTCTCAATCTACCAGAGTTTAAAATGCAGCACTCCAGTCTCAAGGTACAGCTATCGTCCTTGTGCTAGTTCTGCACCCTAGGGTCAGGAAGGGAAAGTACCTCCATTGCCTCTGATTTTGGTGCCTTGCAGCTGCATTCCTGTAGCAATGCTTGGATGAGCAGGTTTGTCTGCCCATCCCAGTGCAACGGAGGCGGCCTATGTCCAAACTTCTATAAACTTCCAAATTTCCTTCTGGATTACTGGAAGAGATCTACAGCGCACTACATAGCACTAGTGACAGGAGATCCTAGCCTAAAACTTGCCTCTAACACTGGAATGACAGCAACTGTCTGACTATTCAAATTGGCAGGCTAGCCTAGTCCAAATCACTGTGGTTTGAGGTAAAGGCTTCGTGCAGAACAAGGCAGAAGGTTTGACTCCACTATTGTGCTGTGAGGGAAGAGTTTCCCCACCTTCCTTCCCTATAGTTTCCAGAAAAAGAAAGTTAAATAGACAACACAGTTGCTGAAAGTTTAGAGATCACCTTTGAGGCAGAAAACACAGTTTTCAGGCCTCTTGAAACTGCAACTAGTAGACTAGAAGGAGCGGTTACAAAGTGAACACACTATATTGCCCACTTCATAAACATTTAAGTGATCTGGTATTGTTTATGTGCAACATAATACGTGCAGCATTATATAATAGCTAAAGTCTTTCAAACGCCTTGAAGCTCAAACCGTGGTACAGACAATAGCCTTTGTCTCAGATATAGGCTAATAGCCCCACTTTGCAGACTGGAGTTGGGCAGCGACAGCCATTTGAGGCAAAAGAATAGCCATGACTAACACTAACATGTCAGGCCATCCTAAGTCTTTAAAAAGCCAGCTTACGCGGGGATTTTAGTACGATTTTCCTCACAACCTCAAAGGAAACCCACTAATACGTAAAACTACAGGAAAAAGAGGATTAACAACTGACAAAGTATTAGTTTTAAGACAATAAAACCAAGATCCAAACTCCTTATACAGTCCTACTCATTATGAGCATCAATAAGATTTTAAAATACTTTATCGAAAGCTAGAAAATTTGAGACCTTGGAGAAAAACTTACATGTGTCTTGCCACTGCCTGTCTGGCCATATGCAAAGCATGTCGCCCTCCCACCCTCAAAGATGGTCTCTACAAGAGGTCTGGCAGTGAACCTGGATATTTGAGAAGGTAAAAGACAGTTAAGGCAAGCATTTCACAACCTCCTTCTTCAGTTTTCCTAAAAAAAGCAAATAAAAGCAAATCCTTAGTAAATCAGCAAAGCCATGCCAAAAATAAGCTTTAGACTTTCCAGTCCTTTGATTTCCTCCAAAAAGGATTTTAATATTTGTTTCAGGTAGCAGTTTCTTTAAGCCAGGATGCCATCTAGCCATAGCTCCATGCTTTTATCTTGAAAGTTGTTCCCAGTGAGAAGAAAGTATTACCTGTATACCATTTCATTAGAAGAGGATTCATCAAATGAGAAGTCAAATCTAAATGCTTGGGTTTCAAGGTATTTTGTTAGGTCCACTTTCTGCTTTGGCTCATGCACCAGCAGGACACACTTGCTCGGAACAGTAATCACATCACATTCCTTTTTTAGTAGTTCTGTTGACAGAAGAGACTCTTAGTTTTAACAAGAATAAGCAATGCCAAACTGCTGCAAGACAGACCTGCTTTGTCGGTACGCTCACCTTGTTTATTGAGAGGGCGCTTCCTCACACAGACACAAATCCTGTGTTCCTCCATCTAAAAGAAAGGAAGAAAACAAGTAATAATTATTTCCTAATTACACCCATACCTACTTAGTAATACAGAGAGAAAGATCCAATGCCTCCTCACATCTGCTTTTCTATATACTGATCAGAGTTGCCTCTACTACTGATCAGACCCACTCATGCAGGGATGCAAGTCTTAGTCTGTTTGGTGCAAAAGAAATGCTACAATTGACCTTTATGTAGTATGCTCCAACATATCAGGTGGAAATACTCTTATGCTATAGAAAGTGCCCCAAATATTCTGTATCAGAATTAGTAAAATAGTTTAGTCCTTGGCCAGCTTTCCAGCAAAATCTGTGACATCAGTACTGCAACTACAGTCAAATTCAGGCAAGTTATCATTTTAATTTACCCCAGAAGTATTTTTTGACCTCGAGTTCTTTACTGATGCAGTACATTTAGCTATTTGTGCAGCACAGCTACACATCAGTTGAGTTTGCAAGAGTGCTTATTCCATTGGGTGAGGCAGAAAGCAGAAGATGACAAAATCTTCTTCTGTCATGCAGTAATATGTACATAAACAGCTGGTTCTCAGCCCCGTAGGATGCAGGCACACAAACCACCTAATGTTCTAAGCTAGTCCACACCTACTTTTTTGTCTGAACTTAAATGCTGTCATTTTTCACTGACCATAACAGCGCTTTTGCTAGATAAGGACTACTTTTTCTCAGGTATTAAGCAGTGCTGCCTCCATACTTGCTGAAGATATCAATCAAGCCTGGTTTTTCTAGTTTTTGATCTCTACTTTTGCTCCTCCACTTTTTGACCTAGTTTAAAATTACTTAATATATGACATGCATACAACACCACTTTCTGTTTTAGGGCAATAGTCCATTTTAAATTATACCTATACCTACAACAAGCTAAGCTACTATGTAAGAGGCTTTGCCTAATTTACAAGCTATGAAAAATACTGATGTTACCAGACAAATCACTGCATGATAATTGTCAAAGTGCAAGCTCTTCACTAGTGAGATATGCAAAGTAATGCAAGGCAGCTTAGCCCCAAATAGGGAAGGTAAGTGACCTCACACATACCACCAGGTGCCTCAAGATCACAATATGCTCACAGGATTTCCAAGGTGCAGTGATGCACTAAATTGCTTGTATGCCAAAATCTTCAGTACAAAATAAAGAAGCCCGTCTACAGGCTGCAGTTAGTAGCCTCAGTATTTACTTACTGGATCAGTTATAGATATTGGCTGGCAGTCTAAAGTTGCTCTGAATTCCTTGATCATCTGTGCAAACTCCCAGTTTGGACAGCTGGTGTCAAATTCCTGCGTGGAAAAACCATGGACATAAAGGTAATTAACCTGTTACAGCAAAAAAGCCTCAGAACATACTAAACAATCAGCTGTACGCAATTAGAAATATTTCACAAGATTCAGAACTTACTGTAACTAGAATCAATATATCCTTATGTACAGCTTTGTAAGAACAAGGCCTGTCCAAAATGCGTTTTAGTTTCAACTGTTGTGATAAGGGGAAATTCTATAGGACAGTTTAACTGGTGTATCATAGAGTACTCCACCTGTGCACGTTTTGTCCTGATTTCACTAATTTGAGCTCTCTTTTCTTCTCTCTTGTTTTTCATTTTTTCCATCTCTTTCACAATGTTAGATCTTCTCCGAACTAGATAAAATAAAAACATTTCCTTGAATTAAATTTTCATGGTAGGTTTTAAGCACAATACAAGTATGTCAGCTCTTCCAGATTCCCAACAGACTAACTTGTACAGAAAACAATCATCTTTGGAAGGATGGTCATTAATTTTGCAGCACTTCCTTCCCAAACCAGATCTACCTACCACAGAAACTGCCTAGGAAATCACACTGCCACTCCAAAGTAAAGGTAGTATTTCTGAAGCAATACCGCTATAACAAAATTACACATTTGTAATAAAGAAGTACTCGATACTCAGTCTTACTGCTGAAGCCATCTTTTCAAAGCTTTAGTCTCAGCGTATACAAAGCAGCAATCGCATAGTGATGCATTGCTGACTGGTGGTTCAGTTCTTGCCCACTGCTCCCTGATACCTGGGCTCACTGAAGAGCTCATTCTAGCAGCAGGCAGATGATCCTCTGTATTTCCATTTCTATTTGTCAATGAGGCTTCTGGAGCACAGCTGAGCTTGCTAGTCCTGGTTCGGCCAGCTGCAGAAAGAAGCCAGACCAAAGCCAGTAATTAGATCCCAAAGACCAAGAGTAGTTTTGTAATTTGTAAAGCCTCATAGACCACAGGCATTCCTCAACTCTGATTGTGGATCAGGAGAGAGAACTAACTAATAATTTTTTTAATCCTTTGCCAATCACCAACTTTTATTCAAAGTGACAAATCAAGGCCATACCAACTAGACAAGAATTTAGTATCAAGCCTCTTATTTCAATGTCTTTGCAGAACTTAATACACAACACATGCTCTCAGCTACTCATCTGGTAGGTCTGGTAAAGATAAATAACTACAATTTCATTATTCAAGTAGGCTCAAGGTCTTGCTTTACTCAACCAGTATAGTTACAGAGCGTGTTGTCAGCAGTATTAAGGCACTTCTCTCCCCGCTCTAGCCCTGTGTATGCCACTTTATGCCATTAAGCAGATACCACATCCACCCACAGGCACAACCACAGCTCTCTGGCTAATAAAGCACATCATTATTCAACAACATTGTTTCTAAAGTCATTTGAGAACTCCTTCAGGTAGGAGCCCTGGATATTTGCATAGTGGCAGACCTCTAGGTTTCTCTTGTTTTGTATGTGAAGGTGTAGAGGTTGCTCATCCCCCTGGGATTTGCAGTTTACCTAATTAAATGCATACAAAGCATCTTGCTTCATAGTAAGAATTCACTGGGTTCTTTCTCCACTCACCAGGAACTGACGAATTGTTTCTGGTTTGTGTAGAAGTGCAGGGATCTACCCCCATCTCATTTTCCTGGAGGCTGCCCTGAGATTCTGTGATAACAGACATCCTGGAACGGCCACGCACAGCTTTGGAAACACAAATTCAAGGTCAGCATCATGCCTCAGACACTCAAACATCTGCAAGTAATCAAGTGCTCACAAAGTGTGGAACAGTGGGGAACAAGGTGTGATTCAAAGGTCCTTTTCCAGATCTCTGATGCATTAGCAAAGTGCAGAACAAAGCAATCAAGTGATGAAAAGTGATCATGAAATATACCACTACAGAAAAGCAAACAGTTCATCCCAGATTTGCAGTTCCAGCTCATTTCTTTTGGATACCACTAAGGATTCACTAATACGGCAGTTCCAGAACCTTAATACCTAGGAAGGAGGAAGTTACAAGTCAGGGAACTGGGAAATCCTCTGAAGTTTCACACGTGCACGGCTGTGTGAATTAACTGTTTGACAGTGACAGTAGTACTGCAGTCTGGCAACTGGTCATGGGCAGCATCATGCCCACCATCATAGCACCCACACACAGACAGCGTGCACGGTGCACAGTGGAGTGGGAGCTTGATAACACTGAATTCAGCTAAAAGACTCTATGTAATGACAACAGCAAATCCTTTGAAAAGGTCCTTTTGTAAGCAGTCTCCATTGTCACATGCCAAAGTATTTCTTTCACTGAGACCAAGTTCATCACTGAGCTTCCTAGGGAAGGGATTGGAACATACACCTCGGACTTGTAAAGAAAGCAAATCTGATATGAAAAAAAAACAGAAGTGTGGTATGCAAGCTAGAACTACCTTCACCTCTAGCAATCGCAGGAATTTATCCAGAATGAATCACTATGATTTCAGAGGACACCAGATCTGTTTCAAACCAAGGGTTAATTTCATTTCTGGATCAAATTCCTTAGAACCGTACCCATGAAATTCAGTGCTCCTATCTGTTAACTCTTTACCTGGAATCTTCTGCTCAGGTGCAGAGACATTAGGTGTCACTGCTGCAACTTTAAGAACAAAAAGCATCAGTTTCCTCATACTCAGAGATGGCATTTTATTCCATTCACTTTTGTCACACATGCCCAGACCTGACCTCATCACAAACTCAGTAGCACTTTTTCTGTAAATGCTAGTGCTCCTGGACAGGCATACCAACTGGAGGATTTGCTGCATCTAAATGGGTTTGATTCAAGTGATTCTTGTACATGAGGATATTCAGCATCCTCCAAAATTCTTACTGACTCAGAGGACTGAGGCACTATCTGTTTCCTAATTAATTCTGAAAGCATTGCTTCTGCTTCTTTCACTTCCCTGAATGAGATGGAGATAGACACCTCCTGATCTTCTTTAATTTGTTTAGTCTAAGAACCAAAACCTGAAGCTAATGTTAGCTTTCTAATCAGTACACTGCAGAGTTTGCAACAGGACAGATACTCACTGACACTGATGGGGTTTAGCGAGTTATAATAACAGATAATAACATTTGAGGAATACTGAAACAGTGCTTCTGTCTTGTACTCTGAGCAGGTCTTCAGGGACAACAAGGCTGTGCCAGTAGGAAAGATAACAGGTATTTCAGATTTGCCATTAGATTCTATACTTGCAATATATATGCAAAAACACAGCAGTTAGATTCTACACTTTCTATAGGAAAGCTCTGACCTCTGTGAAGACATTTTTCCGTCAATCAGTGACTGGATTAGCACCCTTTATTTTACCAGTTGGCTATCCAGCTCCGTTAACTGACCTGTCTAGAGACAGTCACAACTTTACCACATCATTTTGCGTGCCAGTTCACAAAATTTGTGGAGAGTTCTCTGAATTTCAGGAAGATCAGGATGTTGTAGTACACAATAACTTTTGACACATTAAGCTTGTTTGACTACTACTGCCTCCCCAGTGCAAGGGAATTTGTACTGGTGTCTTCTGGTACCAGTTGCCCTATTTTGCATCACATACAAAAGAGGACAGACAAGTCCAGATGATTTGTTTACAGGTCAATTACATGGAAGAGGACAAGTTTTGGCTACCTATGCGCTTTAAAAGAATTATTAAATTAGCAACCATTCAACCTCAGCATCACACAAGTGTATTTCAAATAGACCTGTAATGCTGCCACTGGCAATTCAAAAAGCCAAAAGAGTCAACTAATAAGCTAAGAGGTAGAAAACATGGGAGTTTTCTAACACCTGACATCTCAGGAAAAACAATTCCTTAGCAACCCCACACTCTGACATCTCTGTCTTCTGGCTTTGCTCAAAACATTGTACTGACATACAATCGCTGAGCTATGGCACACCAGCTGACACTTCGGCTGCCTGGTCTGAAATGTCTACAAGGATAAAGCTCTAGTTATTGTCTAGGGGGACTGTTGAGGAAGAGACATCCATTTGTCACCGCTATTTCTTTCTTGCCCTTTCCACTCTCATTTTGACACTTTTAATCTTAATAACTGCCACTTACCTTTTGTTGTTTGTGGCATTTGCAAAACTCCATACAAAACTTTAAAACTCACTGCAACAGCAACTGCCTAGTGACATTTAAAAGCAGTATCAAGGAATAACTACAGCAACGCTGCAGAAAAGGTCAACTCATCAACAAACCCCAGCTCACAGGAACAGGACAGCAATCCGTTAGTAAAGTTTCTGCACTCAGGAGTCCAAAATTTTGGTATGAAACTGCATGCTCTTTATTAGCATTGCCTGAATGAGCAGCCTTATGATGTGCTAAAGTAGAATATTATGGCTACAATGAAAGACTGCAACTGTTTCACAGGGATATAGCAGAAAAAAGAACATTTTCTCACCTTCCCGTGGGGCAGGAATTTTTGAAAGAGTTGTTCTACGCTTCTGTTTCTGAAAAACAATGAAAGCTGTAAGTAATCGGAGTAAGCTGCAAACACCTAGCACAGCACTTCAAGACAACATTGATACAACAAGAATTTCTGGCCAAAATCTATGAGACAGAAGAGACAAGTTAGAGACCTCAAACTTTAAGGCTAAGGGTATTACTTATAACAAGACCTATGCTGTCAACACTTAGTACCTTACGAGGGGCTAAATCACTTTGAAGCACTTACCTGTACAGTTACATTCTCTTGCAAAGGAAGGTTCTCTTTCACATCTGCAGCAGGCACTTCTTCTGATAATTCAGGATTTATTGTTATCACATCATCAATATCAATCTACAAGAGCAAAGGCAGGATTTTACAGAGTGGAATATTGCTGCTACCACTTACAGCTTTTCTTTTTTTTTTTTTAACCTTGACTTTCAGTACAGGCAAACAAACCTGACCCACTGCCTGCCAAATGTTAATTTAAAATTGCCTGGAAGGGCAAGACGGTAGTTCATATTCTGTTTGAGTAGTCTTGTACCTCCAAATATCCTAGAAGAAATGTGCTAGTTAAGCCATTTACCCTCATGCACCAAACACCACGCAGCTCTGTGGGTGCCATGAAGCACTTCAGAAAAGATGGGCAAAGCACATTTGGCATCAACTGCTTTAATCCCTTACTGCTAATCTTAGTAAATCTCGGCTGCTCTGCGACTTCTCTGCTAGGAGAGCATTCAGCATTTACTGTGTGAGTGCACTTACTGAAATAAACTTCAAAGAGCTGCTTAGGCTTTGGGAAATGAAGGATTCAGCATTTAATCGACAAGTCAATTCACCTGCATTTCTGCTTGCTATTGCAAGCGATTTCATCTAGGGCCAGCTACTGCCTTCTGCCTGACCCTTCGGTGAAGTCATAATCCTGCCTTCGCCGCATTTTGCGGTGCCTGGCACGGGCAGCTGCCAGGCAGGGGGAGCAATGGGGGGCAGGCAGCCAAGGGCAGGCTTGAGCACAAAAGACAGCAACCTCTCAGTTCAGTTTTTCAAACCTAAGCCAGCAGGAGAGGTTGAAAGCACGTGTACACAAAAACTCTGGTATCACAGCAGCTTGCACTAGAATTCACCTAACAAAGCGACACAAGCATCACTCCAGGAAGTTCTTGAGTTCTCAATTAACTTTAAAGTTACTTAGATAAAGTAACAGTCCATAAAAAGAGCGAAAACAAGTAGATGAACCTCTGTAAAATGTGGAGATACCACATTCTAATAGAAAAGAAGTAATCTATAAAATTTGATTTATACAGAAACTGTGTCTAATTTGAAAGTGAATTAGCTCAGAAACACATATATATGGACAGTATAATATATATAAGCGTACATACACAGCGTATGCATAAGTATGTAAGAAAATTGCTGGACTTTGAAGCAACACCCTAAAGATTTAATGTCATAACATACATGCAGTTTAGCCAGCAATTATATCTGAATCTGCACACTTTGCATATTTGAATGCAGCACGCGCATAAAGAGCATAAGATCGTTATGCCAATGGCACCTTAAGATTTTAACTGAACTCTAGAGTATATATGTTTCCAGAGAAACCAGCGGGACAAGCATGTTTGCTCAGTCACCAAAGGAGATTTTGTCAAGTGTCAGGATTTCAGCCACATCAACCTCAAATGCCCCAGACTCCTTCCCCCATCCCATCGCACACAGTATTTATTTTATACTACTGTAGAGATTCAGGAAATCAAACTCAGCTCTCTTAACATGGCATCTTATCAGTGGCACATTGAGTCTTAAGGAAAGCCCAAAGGCCATTGTTAAGAGACAGGCAAAGCCAGCAGACAGCCCCCAGAGCTGGGAAAACTGGGACTTCGGGGCATTCAAAACCAGCAGCCAACAGTGCGAGAGGCCCAGCAACCCCTTGCTCCCTCTGAAAGGGGTTTTGGTACCGCTCCCCTGTAACTTTCACATCTTACATTTATTTGTTTATTTCGTTGCTTTAACGATGCGTAACGTTAAAATAAGCATCGAACTGAACCAGCTGCAACAGCGTGGATAAAGCACCACTCACCCGGCGGGGCGGAGGGGGTGGCTGCGGCCGGGGCATGCGGTACAAACCTCCGGCTGCCAGAGGAACGGACCCAGCCCAGGCTTCAGGCGGCAGCAGGCAGAGCCTGCCCGCCCTTGGGGTGACTAACCCCCTTCGCTGGGGGCTGAGAGCGCCCTGGAGCAGCCCGGGGATGGAGCC